CTATTATAATAAATTAGTCCTGGATTTTTCCTAATAGATTATCTCCATATTTACCCAAAAGATATGATGGGTTATGTTTTATATTACACTTAAGAATCACAAATGATAAACCATCTGGCCCATCAATAACAAGATAAGTGAGGCTAATATTCATGCACAACAATATAAATCAAATACATTTCCCACGTGAAAGTCAGGACAAAAAGAGAAAACTGTATACTTCTAAAAGGGATAAGAAAAGTCAACATTAGTTCATGTAAATGAAATATTTGTGAAAATAGTGGGTATCCCAAGTAACTAGATTTGAGCATATAATAATGGGGACTTTAGGATGTTGATGATGCACTTTCCTTTTTAATTTCTTTATTTATTAAAGTACTGTGATTTCCAAAATCATTGGTAGATGAGTTTTACACATATATACTCTAGCACCAATCCCACCACCAGCATTAAATTGCTCCACCAATGTTTCCAAGCTCCCTCCTACCAGCCTCACCAACTCCCCACCCCATCCCCAACACCCTGCCCCTATCCTGCCACCTTAACAGGCATATTTTAAAGTTTGGTTCTTACAGTTCAGATCTCATGATTTCAGCGCTATTGAGTCTATGGTTTGGATGTAAAGCTATACTTCTCCTCCTTGTTCTTGTGTACCTGAAGCCCCTTCCCCTTCCCCATTACTTCCCCTCCTCTTTTTTGAACTCTAGCGTCACAAACTGTTCAGTTGACCACAAAGCATTGAGTGTATAATTATGAACAAGAAAATGTTTAATATAGACACTGACACTGTACTTTAAGAATATTTTATTAAGTGATCATTAAATATTTGAACTTGTTACAGTTTTAATTTTGGTTTTAGTAAACTTCAAAACTCTAAGTGAGGAATGATATACAAAATTTCCCTAATCTAAGAAGATAAATATTGTGGCATTTCTCCAGTGCAGTTATTCAAACATTGGCTGTTTTATTCATTAACAGTCTACTTTTAAAAATTGGTCACTCTCACAGAGTAGATAACAAGCTGAAATTGATTATTATTTTGTCATTATATTATTATTGTCATTTTTCTTTTCTGTATGAAATGATTGTTTCTGAAATGATTCATAATGGAACTGGAAAACTTATCTTTTTTGTTACAGATTAAATAAAATCTGAGTCCCAAACTTGATTTTTTTCATTATTTTTTTAAAATTTTAAGTCATTATTTGCAAAACTTTTATTGATAAGATTTTATGGGTACAGCTTCCCAACACAAACCCCTCCACAAGTGCATATGTCTCTGCCTCCATACTTTCTTAGTCCCATCCTCTCCACCCCATTCCTTAATCTCAGTTCTGTAAACCAGCTCTCAGATCCATTCTCCATTACCTTTGGGAATTTGTTATTTCCTTGCTATGTTATTTCCTTTATATACCACATATGCAAGAAATAATTCTGTCTCTGTCCCTCAGAGACGCCTCATTCCTGGGTGCTAACCCATTCAGTCATTACAAACACTGAGTCTGGTGAGGGACAGAGGCATTGTCACTCGGATACTTCTGCGTGTGTGTGTGTGTGTGTGTGTGTGTGTGTGTGTATGTATGGTGATGAAGCAGGTTATTTCTGATATCAGGAAAGAGCTTCCAATAAAGGCTACAACTTCTTGCCACATTGTTTTTTTTTCACTCGCCCATGTGCCAGGGCCTGCCAATATCATCTCAGACTCAGTTTATGTTGTTGATCTCTTTCCTGGTACTGTGACTGCATCTCTAACTGCCCTGAATCCTATAATGCAACAATTGCTTCAGCAACAACAGGGTCTTTTACAAAAGTGCTCTGAACTTGTTTTTATTACTGATATCAGATCTCATTTTGGTTTTCCTGGACCTATGAATCGGGCATATGAATCGAAGGTATGCCCCGTTTGACTCCTTGTCCTTGACATTGTTCTCTTTACAATTTTTTAATCTACCTCAAGGGGAGTCATATACAGCAGCTGAAAAGCATTTTCAGGAAGAGGCACAGACTCAGAAAATTGTTAATTCTCTTAATTTGGATTAAAATTGACAAAGAATGGGTAGCAGGGAGACTCCTCATTTGAGGAAAAGGTTATAGTTTTCTTTCAACAGATAACCCCACCAAGAAACTTTGGGTCCCATTGCATTTCATCAGTAGCCGAATTCATCTGCCTGCTTTAACTTTCATACCTTTGCAGTCTTACAACCCTCTAAATTCCAGCGTCAAGCCATCGCCAAGCTGCTTTCAGCTGGAAGTCACAAGGAAATCAGAGGAGCCAGCATCAGAAGGCCTGCAGCAAAGGCCTCTAGCTCCTTTAACATATCATGAGATCAAATTAAGAGCATTCCTTATACCCTTCTCTTACAAGTTGTAGATTGGGCAACTCCAGGACCCCATATTTTGGATTAACAATTCCTTCCTTTTACCCTCTCCTTGGAACTCACAGGTGTTTCAGCTCACAAAGAAGGAAGGAATGACTTTTAATAGGAACACCTTTTAATTTCTCTCTGGGCTAACTATTTGTGTCGGGAGTTCCCCCCTGTCTCTTTCTCTACCCCCAGGCATGGAGATGTACCAAACCCCAATGCTGAAAGCCTCTGATAACTTTAAAAAAGTGTTTTTTTCCAAACATAAGCTAGGTTGTACACCTATGACTGCTAGTGAACCTGAACAAAGAATGGCTGCATTCCTCTGCTGAAAAGCTCCTGATAGAAGTTGTGATGCTCTGTTTCAGTGCTCCCTGCCTGACCCAGTGTCCTGAAGTTCATCCCAAACACAGGGTCCCAACGAGAGACTGAATGGACCAAGGGCAAGCGGTGAGCTACCCTGGCATCGAAATGGGCCAGGCCAAAGTGCCACGATTCTTTTCTTTTTTTAAAATTTTTATTAGTGAAACACCATGAGGTACAGTTGTAGACTTACAAATTTTTGTGCTTGGGTTTCAATTATACAATGATTGAGTACCCATCCCTCCACCGGTGCCCATTTCCCACCTCCAATGCTCTCAGCATCCCTCCCATCCCCCTAATTCCCCATCCCACCCCACCCCTGTGGCAGGGCATTCCCTTTCATTCTCTCTCTCCTTTTGGGTGCTGTGGTTTGCAAAAGAGACATTGAGTGGCTATCATGTTCGGTCTATAGTCTATTTTTTTTCCTTAAGTTTTTATTAGTGAAACACCACGAGGTACAGTTGTAGACTTACAATTTTTTGTGCTTGGGTTTCAGTTATACAATGATCGAATACCCATCCCTCCACCAGTTCCCATTCTCCACCACCACCAGTCCCAGTATCCCTCCTGCTCCCCTTCCCCTCATCCCACCCTACCACTGTGGCAGGGCATTCCCTTTTTGTCATCTCTCTCCTTTTGAGTGCTGTGGTTTGCAAAAGAGACATTGAATGGCAATCTTGTTCGGACTATAGTCTACTCTCAACCCGCTTTTCCCATCCTGAAAGGAACCTCCCAACACCCTTTATTTGGTGCTCCCTTCTCTATCTGAGCTGCCTTTTCCCCTAGCATGTGCAGCTGTCCTCAAAGCCATGGAGTAATCCTCCTGGTACTTATCTTGGCTATTCTTGGGTGTTAGTCTCCTATTTTGTTACTTTATGATCCCCAGATGAATGCAATCTTCCTATGTCTCTCCCTTTCTTTTTGACTCATTTCACTTAGCATGATACTTTCCATGTAGTACCACTTGTATGTAAATTTCATGACTTCATCCTTTCTGACAGCTACATAGTATTCCATTGTGTAGATGTACCTATGTGTAATTATTACCCCAATCCCTCATGCTGTGAGATATAGTGAGACTGTAAGAATGGGCAGAAGGAGGCAGAGGAGAGAGACAGGAATGAATGGAGAGACTATTGGAATAAACTGCGACTAAGACCAACCAGCCTGGCCCTTGTTTCCTTCCTGTGCTTGCCCATCGCCATCAACCTCCCGGGGTGGGGAAATCAACCTGAGACAGATAGACAGTTGCCGCTGCTATGCTCTCTTTTGAGTTTACACACAGCATGATCCTCTTCAGTTCCACCCATATGGCAACAAATTGCATGATTTTGTATTTTTTTATAGTTTAATATTATTCCATTTCACATATGCATATCACATACAGACACATATATTTAGCACTGTAGCACTGTCCTCCCATTGTTCATCGATTTGCTTGAGTGAGCCCAGTAACGTCTCCATTGTGAGACTTGTTGTTACTGTTTTTGGCGTATCAAATGCATCACAGGTAGCTTGCCAAGCTTTGCCATGTGGGCAGGATACTTTCAGTAGTTTGCTGGGCTCCTAGGGGCGAAGGAATCAAACCCGGGTCGGCCATGTGAAAGGCAAACGTCCTACTCACTGTGCTATTGCTCCAGTCCATAGACACATATATGTATATTAATAATATATAGACCATAGTTTCAGAAAAGACATCTGCATTTCTATATTCATTGCAGCACTATTCACAAGAGCCAAATATCTAGAAATAACCCGAGTGAAATTTGGATTTTTCTAGAATTCTAGCCTGGAACGTTATGTAGAAGGAAAGAATCTGAAAAAAATGAGAAAGAAAAATGGGAGAAAAAGAAGGTGGCATGATGGACAGGTGGGAGGAGAGAGAGGGCAGATATTTTATGAATAGACTTTTATGACCCCCGATTCAACATCTCTGAAGTGGGTTCAATCTTCACCCTTTCTATGTTAATAGTTAATCCTATACCATAGTCCTCTTTGTTTATTCATGAAGTACAGATTGAGTTTTGTTATTGTAACCAAAATAGCTATGGATAGAGTGATAAAATAATTTCTTGAAAGTTTATATAGTTTAAAATATAGATTAAAATTAAAGAAAGCAATAATAACTGAATTACCGGGGATTAAAATTAAGTAATTTGTAAATAAAGCAAGATCAAAACACTGACAATATTAAAAATGTTGTTTTTAAAAAGTCACACATATGCATTAGAGTTATTTCCTTTATATACCACATATATATATATTAGAGTCAGATTTTATAAAAAGAATGTTTAATTTTACATAACACATAAGATAAACTAAAAAAATTATGGTTATTTTTGTAACTAATCAGTTTAAGTCTAACAGTTTACAGGTTCTTTAATTTTGTATGTGCATCTTCATCCCAAATGAATAAAATACAATCTTCTTTGGTTTCAGAGACTTTTTTTCTGTATTGTCTTACTTCTCAATTTTTCTCTTTCTTGATGAGATCAGTCACTATCACTGTCCTCCCATTGTTCACTGATTTGCTTGAGCGGGCCCAGTAACACTGTGAGACTTGTTACTGTGTTTGGCATATCAAATACATCATGGGTAGCTTGCCAGGCTTTGCCGTGCAGGGGAGATACTCTCTGTACATTGCCGGGCTCTCTGAGAGGGGCGGAGGAATCGAACTCTGGTTGACCAAGTGGCCGCGTGCAAGGCAAATGCCCTACCCGCTGTCTATCGCTTGATGAGATAATAAGTATTAATATATCAATGGTTTGCATATTTATCTTCTCTAAAATTCTTGATAATTCCTCCATTCTCTGAGGGAAAAAATAAGATAACACATTACTTAAGAAAAAATTAGCCAGAATAAAGAGAAACATTTGGTTCATGAGGTCTAAATTAATTCTGACTTTAGCCGGACATGCACCATGAAGAAAAACATGGAGAAACCAAGATTGCAGAGTCAGAGCATAAAAGTGAGTAGATTAGAGTTTCTCAGACTACATATATTACATATATAGTTATATGTTGCATGATTTTCTATGAACTGCAATTAAAAATTACGTCTAATATTTTATTGTAACAGTGCTGGCTATGCTACATATTCCAAGGATACTTTAGCAAATTCCGAAATTTAGAAAATTGGGCACCTCCCCCCCGACGCTGGGAGGAAAAGGGGATCTGCGTCTCTCTGCCTGTCCCTTTGGTCTGGCCGCCCAGCAGAGCTGCTTCCTTGTCCCCCACCCACTCTTTACTTCCTGGACAAAAACCAGGTATCTGTGGAGGCATGGCCACTTCAGAGGTGGGCGTGGCTTTAAATAGTGGGTGTGGCCTAATTTCGCAGGACAAAGCTCACGCGGCCGCAGGTAGTTCACTCAAACCAACAAATATTACCCCTCCACATACACAACAACATGAGGAAACAACGCAAATCTCCACCACAGGGATACCATGAGGAAATACGTCTAGAAGCCTAAGTAGGTGCTAGCCACCTTAGGGACCTCTCTGACAAGGAATTCAGATATGAAATCATCAAGATGTTCGATCAACTCGATGAAACAGTCACACACATATCCGCTAAACTGAAAGAGGACATGAAAGAAACAATCGATCGCACAATTGACAAAATACAGCAAGAAATGAGAGCCGAAATTGGAAAGCTCCGCACAGAAATGGCACGCATCACAGATTCCATAGATGAAGTCAAAACCTCACTCACTGCCCTCAAAAATAGAACGACCACAGCTGAGGAAAGAATCAGTGACTTGGAAGATCAGCTGCACCAAGCCAACAGACAACAGCAAACAATGGCAAGAGACCTCAAAATAGCTCAAGAGCGAATCAGAGTCCTACGAGATGATTCCAGAAGAAACAACATTAGAATCATTGGACTACCAGAAGCTCAAGGAAACAATCCCAATGAAAAAAACCTGCTGAAACAAATTATTGCCGAAAAATTCCCAGAGCTCCATAATACAGCCATCCAGATTCAAGAAGCCCGAAGGGTGCTAGCTAAAAGAGACCCCAACAGAAACACCCCAAGACATATTATAGTTAGAATGATTGATGCTGCCGATAGAGACACAATACTGCAAGCAGCAAGGGCAAAACAGGAAATCACATACAAAGGAGCACCCCTGAGATTCACAGCAGACCTCTCAGAGGAAACCCTACAAGACGGAAAACAGTGGCGAGATATAGTCAAAAAACTCACTGAAATGAATGCTTCACCAAGAATATTCTATCCGGCTAAACTCTCACTCCAAATAGATGGAAAGCTACACTATTTTCTAGATAAACAGCAGCTCAGGAACTTCATAGACTCAAAACCAAACCTAAAACAAGGACTAAAGGGGCTACTATAAGACAAGACAAACCCTACAATCACAACACACCCGCACAGAAACATGACACAAAACCCCATAACCATACTCTCTCTCAATGTCAATGGTCTCAATTCACCGTTGAAGAGACACAGAGTGGCAAAATGGATACAGAGACAGAACCCAACATTCTGCTGCCTACAAGAAACTCATCTCAAAACTCAGAGCAAACACAGACTCAAAGTCAAAGGATGGAAAACAATCCTGCAAGCAAACAGCTCCTGTAAAAAAGCTGGGGTGGCCATACTAGTATCTGACAACATTAATTTCACCCTGAAAAAGGCTAGAAGGGACAGTGAAGGCCATTTTCTATTCATCAAGGGATACGTACAACAGGAAGAAATCACACTCTTAAATGTATACGCACCTAATGAGGGAACAGCCAAATATTTAAAACAACTGCTAACAGACTTTAAGGAGGACATTGCAAGCAGCACAATAGTACTTGGAGACTTCAACATTGCCCTATCACCTCTGGACAGATCAACAAGAATAAAACCCAGCAAGGAATCATTGGCTTTGAAACAAGAAATAGAAGAGAGGGCTTATAGACTTATACAGGGCTTTACACCCCAAAAAGAAAGAATACACATTCTTCTCCAGTGCACACGGAACATTTTCCAAAATAGACCATGCACTAGGACACAAAACATACCTCAACAAAATAAGGAAGATAGAAATAGTATCAGCCATCTTTTCAGACCATGATGCACTGAGGATAGAAGTGAATCACACACAGACACGGAGAACCAAATCAAACACCTGGAAATTAAACAACTCGATGCTGAACAATGAATGGGTCAGGAACGAAGTCAAGGACGAAATCAAAAGGTACCTGGAAACAAATGAGAATGAAGACACGAGCTACCAGAACCTATCGGATGCAGCGAAAGCTGTATTAAGGGGAAAATTTATAGCTCTGCAAGCATATCTTAGGTCTGTAAAAATGGTACACATAAACAACTTGACCTCACAGCTCAAGTCCTTAGAAAAGGATCAACAGAAAGAACCTAAATCAGGCAGAAGGAAAGAGATCATAAAACTTAGAGCAGAAATCAATGACATGGAAACCAAAGAAACAATCCAAAAGATCAATGAAACCAAGAGCTGGTTCTTCGAGAGAATAAACAAGATAGATAAACCACTCGCAACACTCACAAAGAAACAGAGAGAGAGAGAACCCTAATAAACCAAATCATAAATGAGAAGGGGGATAACACAACAGAAACCAAAGAAATCCAAAAGATCATCAGAGACTACTTTGAAAGTCTGTATGCCACGAAACAAGAGAACCTAGAAGAAATGGACAAATTCCTGGGCTCCTATAATCTCCCAAAGCTGAATCAAGAAGACCTGGAGTATCTGAATAGACCTATTAACATCAACAAAATAGAAACTGCAATCAAAAGCCTTCCCAAAAACAAAAGCCCAGGCCCAGATGGATTCACTAGTGAATTTTTCCAAACATTTAAAGAGGACCTGCTGCCAGTCCTTCTCAAGCTCTTTCAGGAAATTGAAAAAACGGAAACTCTCCCAAACAGTTTCTATGAAGCCCCTATCTCTCTAATATCAAAAGGAAACAAAGATAACACGAGAAAAGAAAACTACAGGCCGATATCCCTGATGAACAAGGATGCGAAGATTCTCAAATCTAAATACTAGCAAATAGAATTCAACTACTCATCAAAAAGATCATACACCATGACCAAGTAGGATTCATCCCGGGGATGCAAGGCTGGTTTAACACTAGGAAATCAATCAACATAATCAACCACATCAACAAAAGAAAAGATAAAAATCATATGATCATATCAATAGATGCAGAGAAAGCATTTGACAAGATCCAGCACCCATTTATGATGAAAACCCTAGCCAAAATGGGGATGGAGGGGACTTTTCTCAATATAGTTAAAGCCATCTACCACAAGCCTACAGCAAGCATCGTCCTCAATGGCGAAAAACTGAGAGCCTTCCCTCTAAGATCAGGGACGAGACAAGGATGCCCACTCTCTCCACTGCTGTTCAATATAGTATTGGAAGTACTTGCAATAGCGATTAGGCAAGAAAAGGATATTAGGGGCATCCAGGTAGGAAAGGAAGAAATCAAGCTCTCATTATTCGCAGATGATATGATACTATACTTAGAAAACCCTAAAACCTCTATCAAGAAACTTCTAGAAACAATAGGCTTGTATAGTAAAGTGGCAGGTTATAAAATCAATGCCCAAAAGTCCATGGCTTTCCTATATGCAAATAGTGAAAGAGAAGAAAAAGACATGAAAAAAACAATCCCATTCACAATTGTGCCCCAGAAAATCAAGTACCTAGGAATCACCTTAACTAAGGAAGTAAAGGACCTGTACAAAGAAAACTACAAAACTCTACTTCAGGAAATAAAAGAGGATACGAGGAAATGGAAAAATATCCCCTGTTCATGGATCGGGAGAATTAACATTGTCAAAATGGCAATACTTCCCAAAGCACTGTATAAATTCAACGCATTCCCTATTAGGATACCCATGACATTCTTCAAAGAATTGGAGCAAACACTCCTGAAATTCATATGGAACAATAAGCCCCCACGAATAGCTAAAGCAATTCTTGGGAAAAAGAAAATGGGAGGAATCAACCTCCCTAACTTCGAACTCTACTACAAGGCAGTAATAATTAAAACAGCATGGTACTGGAACAAAGGCAGAGCTGTAAACCAATGGAACAGGGTTGAATATACTGACGTCCCCCCCCCCAAGTATACGAGCATCTAATCTTTGATAAGGGGGCAAGAAAAGTGAAGTGGAGCAGGGAAAGCCTCTTTAACAAATTATGCTGGCAAAACTGGACAGCTATATGCAAAAAAATGGGCTCAGATCTCTGCCTAACTCCATGTACAAAAGTAAGATCTAAGTGGATTAAAGACCTCAACATCAGACTGGAAAATATAAGATAAATTGAGGAAAATGTTGGCAAAACCCTTCATGACATAGAAGCTAATAGTGTCTTCAAAGATGTCACACCGCTGGCCAAGCAAGTGAAAACAGAGATAGATAAATGGGACTATCTTAAACTAAGAAGCTTCTGTACCTCAAAAGAAACAGTGACCAAAATACAAAGAGTCAACTGAATGGGAAAGGATATTCGCCAACTACACATCTGATAATGGGTTAATTTCAAGGATATACAAAATACTGATTCAACTCCACAAAAAGAAAACATTCAACCCCATCAAAAAATGGGGAGATGAAATGAATAGAAACTTTGACAAAGAAGAAATCCGAATGGCTAAAAGACACATGAGAAAATGTTCCACATCATTAATCATCAGGGAGATGCAGATCAAAACCACAATGAGGTATCACCTCACACCACAGAGACTGGCCCATATCCACAAGAACAAAAGCAACTGGTGCTGGCGCAGATGTGGTGAGAAATGGACACTCCTTCACTGTTGGTGGGAATGTCGACTGGTTCAGCCCTTCTGGAAAACAGTATGGATGATTCTCAAAAAACTAGAAATTGAGCTCCCATTTGACCCAGCAATACCACTCCTGGGAATATATCCCAGAGAGGCAAAAAATTATAGTCGAAGTGACATCTGCAATTGTCTGTTTATTGCAGCACTCTTTACAATAGCCAGAATCTGGAAAAAACCTGAGTGCCCGAGAACAGATGACTGGTTGAAGAAACTCGGGCACATTTACACAATGGAGTACCATGTAGCTGTTAGAAAAGACGAAGTCATGAAGTTTACATACAAGTGGTACTACATGGAAAGTATCATGTTAAGCGAAATGTCTCAGAAAGAAGGGATAGACATAGAAAGATTGCATTCATCTGGGGAACATAAAGTAACAAAATAGGAAACTAACACCCAAGTATGGCAGAGATTAAAGGTAAAGGTAAAGGTAAAGGTAAAGGCCCTCCCGTTGATCATCGATTTGCTCGAGCGGGCCCAGTAACGTCTCCATTGGAGACTTTGTTGTTACTGTGTCTGGCATATCGAATACTCTCAGTAGCTTGCCGGGCTCTCTGAGAGGGGTGGAGGAATCGAACTCGGGTCAGCCATGTTGGCCGTGTGCAAGGCAAACGCCCTACCCGCTGTGCTATCGCTCCAGCCCTAAAGGTAAAGGCCCTCCCGTTGATCATCGATTTGCTCGAGCGGGCCCAGTAACGTCTCCATTGGAGACTTTGTTGTTACTGTGTCTGGCATATCGAATACTCTCGGTAGCTTGCCGGGCTCTCCGAGAGGGGCGGAGGAATCAAACTCGGTTCGGCCATGTTGGCCGCGTATAAGGCGAACGCCCTACCCGCTGTGCTATCGCTCCAGCCATGGCAGAGATTAGTACCAGGAATTTTACTCAATGACCCGGAGGACAACCACACATGTTAGGGGAAGGGGGAGCTCAGAAAGAGAAGGGAACACCAAATAAAGGGTGTTGGGAGGATCTGCCCATGATGGGAGAGCATGCTGAGGGTAGACTGTCGATCAAGCATGATTGCCACTCAATGCCTCTTTTGCCAACCATGGCACTCAAAAGGAGAGAGAGGGAAATGCTCTGCCACAGAGGCAAGGTGGGATAAGGGCTGGGGGGGAGGGGATGCTGGGATCAGTGGTGGTGGGAAATGCGCACTGGTGGAGGGATGGGTGTTTGATCATTGTATAATCGAAACCCAAGCACAAAAATGTGTAAGTCTACAACTGTACCTCATGGTGCCTCACTATTAAAAAAATAATAATAATAATAAAAGAAAATAAATTAATAAAAAAAAAAGCCAAAAGAAAAAACAGGGATGAGAAGTCCTGGTGGTATCTAAAAAAAAAAAAAAAAAAGAAAATTGGGCACCTCTCCCTAGGAGTGACCATACCGCATTAAAAGTGACTTAGAGGAGAGGAGTCAAAATACTCTAGTGAGGGTGTGTGATGTAGCTCATAAGTAGAACACCTTCCATCCTTCCAGGTATGAGAACCTGGATTCATGCTCCAGAACTACACACACACACACACACACACACACACACACACACACACGCGCGCGCGCGCGCATGCACAAAGTCTAGTGAAAAAAAATGGAAGTACAAAGTTACCAAAGTAGAGGGAAATACTTAAAAGATCCCATCTGCTCAGGAATTTTGCTGATCCAATCCAATACTAGCACCAAGGCAAAGAAATGCATTCTGAGAAAACAAGGTACAACTTGGGATTTCAGAATGCATTGGTTTGTTATTAAAGTATACTCAGGGGTCAGAATGGTAGTACAAGGATTCAGACACAGTCTTTGCATGTGGCCTATCCCAGTTGAATCCCCAGTACAGATGGTCCACCAAATGGTGTAGCTCTGAAGACCCCTAAGAGGCCCGTCTCTTGTGAGATGGCTTAGGAGGAAAATATTTTAAATTTTTTTTAGAAGATCATCTGAAGGCAAGACAACAGTATTATTTCAAATTCCTATAATTGGACACTTTTAAGCTAATGCAGCACCAAACTTTACCTGTTTCCTCTCCTTGTTTAACAATGAGGCAAATCTTCTAAGAAGTCATCTGTAGCCCAGAGCAGTTGTCTCAGTGCAGAGAGTATCAGAAAGTCCTTTAGGGTATCCAACTCCCATTCTGAAGTATAATTACTGACCACCAAGATGTCAGAAAGCACAATTCCAAGTTTCTTATGGACTGCCTCTATCTGTGAAATAGAAATTAAAACTTTGACACTGGAGCAGATTCAGCAGGTAGATCATTTGCCTTGCACGGCAAACCCAGGTTCAACCTCCAGGCACCCCACGTGCTACCCCAGACCTGGCCAGGAGTGATTCCCTGAGAACAGAACCAGGAGTAAGCACAATGAACACTGCCCCGTGTGTTCAGAAAACAAACCCCACAAAATTTGTGAAAAATATTATTTTATGCCATTATAAATTTTGAAAGCAATAAAATGATAGGAATTTTACACCTGTGGGGAACATAGGACTAGAGATCTGATCCTCTGTATTTTCTGAAAGAACTTCAATTGTTATTCTTGAATACCACTGTATATTTTAACCTATATAAATTAAATAAGTACAACATGAATGAAAGGAACAAGACTGGGAGATGTACATGTACAATATATGCCATAGTATGTACAGTGGTTAGTAAACACTAGGCATGCATTTAATCCCAGTTGACTGAAAATCACCCATGGGGGCCTGTTTGGAAGCCCCCAATAAAAAATAAATAAATAATAAGCCAAAGGAAACAACTCTATATGCAGATTATCACACATGATTGGTCATCAATGATAATCAGATATTTATTTAATTAAAAGTGAATTAAATTATAATGAGTGAAATTATATTTGTCAAATTAAAGAGAAATGTTTACTACTTAAAACTGGACCAATGAGACTAAATTATACTTGAAATTCTTTCATTCCTCTTAAAATTAGTAGTTTTTTATTTTTATTTTTATACACAGAAAGATTATGTGTTTATAGAGATCTACTCCAGAAAATGTTTCCATAAAGCATTCATTACCTTGGATTTCACAGGCATACAACTGTATATGTCTAAAAAGTCACTTTTTGTAATCAGATCCAAGCTATCCACATTAGTGAGTAAAACCACGTGTACCACACCTATATCAAATAGATAAATAGTATTTTTTCATTATAAACAGTATGACTAGTTCTCATTATATCAGCTATAAATTTAATTTCTTGATGCAGTCACAAAACTATTCTACAATATATGCTAATAAATTATCTTAGTACAAAAATGGAATGAGACTCACCAAGCTTTATCAGTTCCCTTCGAATTCTTTTTATCTTGTCTATCATTTCATGAGATAAGCAGTCAACAGAATTTGCATTGAGCACAAATGCCACACAATGGATTCTGTCCTTCAGAGATGGTTCACTAATATAATTAGAATGACCTGGAGTAATTGGTTTTGTGGGATTAAACTGTAAAGTAAACAAAAAACAATACATAGATTCACTGTAAGAAAAAGGCATAAAACAATATTAATTAGAGGTAGAGGTATTGACACATTGCCTATCTATTTGGAAAAAATTTTAATTTATGATTAAGTCCAGATCTAGTTTGTCATTTGTAACAAGTAGATTAAAAGAACTATAAATTTAACCCAAAAAGTTCTCTTCTCTTTAATCTCCCCTTACTCTTGCCTAGAATGCTGAGAAAACCCAATATGAATATCTTGAGAACATAAAATTTTTATTCCATTGATATAGATATATATATATATATATGATATAGATAACAAAAAAATAAAAATAAACACAAGGGACTAATTACATCAAATTAGAAAGTTTTTGTATGAGTGCCAAGAGAGATTGTAGAGCAGATAAAGAGTTTGTCTCACCCAAGGCCAACCGGGTTCTATCCCAGCATTCCATATGGTCCCCTGAGCCTACCAGTTCACTGAGTGCAGAACCAGGAGAAAACCCTGAGCACTGATAAGTGTGTCACCACCACCACCATCACTCCAAAAAAGAACATTTTTTGCATGGCAAAATAAACATGCTACAATTAAAAACACCCTATTGATAAAAAAAATTGCACACAGATAAAGGACTAATATACATCTGATACTATACCTCATATAAGGGACTGATAATATATATTAAAACAAAGCTCCAATAACAACAACAAAATAATAATTCTATCAAAACTGGGGAGAGGGAATGAACAGATACTTCTCTGAAGACAATGGAAAGCTTGCAGACATATGACAAAGTGCTTATTTCACTTATTTAAGAAATGCAAATGAAACAATGAAATGGCATCTCCCACCAATGATAATGGCATATATCAAAATGTCTGGGAAAAAATTGGGGATGTGATGAGAAAGGAGCCATCCTTCAGTGGTGCTTAGGACGTCTGGTGAGTTTATATTGAAGCCAAAGTAATTGCTCAAGAAAACAATCATAGAACTCCGATATGACGTAGGGATTCCACATTTTGACATTCACCTCCAAAGCACAAAAACACATATTAGAAAAGATTCACCCACATCTATGTTTATTGTAGCAGTTAGTATAAAAGTCAAGGTATGGAACCAACCCAAATGTCCAATTACTGATGAATGGATCAAGAAATTGTGTTATATATAAACAATTAGATATTATAGAATACTATGCATTGGCAAGAAAAGGTGAAATCACTGCAATATGGAAGGAAGTGAAAGGCAAAATGCTGCTCGAGGCAAAATGTTAAGTGAAATAAATTAGAAGACGAAGATCACAGTGGATGATCTCACTTATCTGTGGAATAGAGAGACAAAACAAGGGAATGTTTTTTTATGTGTTTTTTTTTTCTTTTGGGGTCATAGTCAGCAATGCACAGGAGTTACTCCTGGATCTGCACTCAGGAATTACTCCTGGCAATGCTCGGGGAACCATATGGGATGCTGAGAATCACACAGGTCTACCTTGTGCAAGGCAAACCCCCTCCCACTGTACTATAGCTCCAGCCCTAAGGGAATGGTTCTGATCAATGTCAAACCCTTAATCCCTTGGGGCTGGAGCATAGCTCGGAGCGTAGGGCGTTTTGCCTTGCATGCAACCAACCTGGATTCGATTCCAAAGCACATGTGCAGTCATTTTGCACATCTATACAATAAACTTTAACACTCGTAACTATATTAACTAAATTATAGAAAATGGTTTTTAAACATATGAATGTGAAAAATCTAGTTTGGATTGCTATAAAAATTACAATATTGCAGAGCTTAAGCAACAAATAACTATTTCTCACAATTGTGCCAGAAAGATAATACTGTGGGTAAAGTGCTTGCTTTACACATGGTCAACCTGGGTTTGTTACTCAGCACTACCACCAGGACTACTGAACCCTGAGTTCACAGCCAGGAGTAAGCCCTGAGAACAGTTGGGGGTGGCCCTAAACAAAACAAAACAAAACAAAACAAAACAAAACAAAAAACAATACACATTTCTGGAATCTAGGAATTTCAAAGTTTGACAAAATCTGAATTTGTGAGAGGCCTAATCCTGGTTTGCAGAAGATACTCCCTTCTTTATCCTTATGTGATAGAGAGCTAACGTCTCCATCTCTTACAAGAACACTAATCCCTTTCATGAGAGTTTCAACTTCATAACCTAACACTTCACAAATCTTCCACCTCAAATGCCATAATAGTTGAGATTAAGATTTTGTGAGTCTCCTGCCTCTATACCTAGCTGTCCTCACCGGGGCCCCTTGGAGGAGGGTGGGTTGAGTTTCCCTCCCCACCCCGAGCAGAGCCCTGGTAGCTGAAGACCTCCGGTTCCAGCCACAGCCATGCTTAAGACCACTCTCCATACGTTCGGACAAGCCTCACGCATGAAGGAACCGGCATAGGAACCTGGGTGTGCAGGACCCGTGGTGTAGATCTCCAAGCCTGCTCAGATTGGGACTGGGGCCTCCTCCATCCAGATCCCCCCCTCATCTTCCAGTATGTAGGCATTACACCCACCAACTGCCCCTGGCACCATGTAATCCCATCAACGGCCAAGAACCAGAGACTATAAAACCCTGCTCCCGGAACTTATCTAGTTCTTGCTCTTGAGAACCTGGCAGGCTACCAAAAACATCCTGCCCACACGACAGAGTCTGACAAACTCCCTGTGGCGTATTCAATATGCCCAAAACCAGTAACAAAGATGGGTCTCATTCTCCTGACCCTGAAAGAGCCTCGAATGTGGCACTTTTTAAAATCTCAGGGCTAGGACGAAGGAGATGTTACTGGGGCCTGCTCGAGGCAATCAATGAACAACAGAATGACAGTGATACAATGAAGATTTTGTGAATTAACCTTTATTGCATATTGAGAATCTGACCCTTGAAACTAGTAACTATTGACAGCTACCACAATGACCCAAAACATTTCACCTAAGACTTCTTGTTCTATGAAATACAAACTTTGTTGTAAATTGTTGAGTTGGTTTTTAATGTCCCATAATCCAAAGCTACTGAACACGTAATAACATTCACAGTTATCACAGCTATGACAGAATAATCTTTTACATGCCTTTCCTTTTTGCAAGATAAATTATCTAAAGAAAAGGAATCTTGAACAAGTTTACAAAAACAAATGAGGTATTAATATTGTCAGTAGTGGACAACAATAAGAATTTTAAATATCAATTACAATTTATCAATTATTAGTCAAATCTTACCTTATATCTGTCAGAAACATGGCCCTTTAAGATATATGCGATGTCATCCATGCATATACCTTTCTCCTCATCCAGCCCCATTGAGTCACACAGAATAAATGGAAGGGGTTTGCCATCTTTTCCATCCCTTATGGTATATGTTCTGAACTAGAGAATAGAAAAAGAAAAAACTTTAAGAGTTCACTTTGGGGCTAGAGAGATAGTACCATGGGTAAGGTGATTGCCTTGCACATAGAAGACCAGATTCAAATCCTCCATTCCTTATAAGGTACTCCAAGCATTGGCAGGAATAATCCCTGAGCCAGAAATTAAGGCTTGAGAATGGCCAGATGTGGCTCAAACCTCAAAATAAACATTGTTTTATTTAAGGGGAGGCAGGAGATAGCTCAAAAGGTTAGAGCATCTGTCTTATATACACAAGGCCCCTGTTTTAATCCCCAGCCTGAGATGCCCCATCAGCAGTTCTGAGGTCTGTCCTGGTGGCTTCTGAGCATCTCAGGGCAGAATCCCCCCCCCCCCCCCCAAACACACACAAAATGAATTTATTTGGAAAAAAACAAACTTTAAATCAAGGTTAATGTCTAGAGGCAATGAAGCTGATCAAACGAAAATTTTCAAATTCCACTAACTTGAACAAAGAAGTAAAGGCTAAGAAACTTAGAATAAACTTACTGTCTCAGACATCCCGGTTTTGTCAACGCCTACCAAAACTTGGTGCATCACATGACCTTGGAACACAGACTTTACTGAGTTGACAAAGCTAGATTTCCCAGCTCCCACAGGACCAAGCAGTAGAATTCGTACTTGGTGGACCAGATCTCTGTATGGTTTGTAAGTTCTTACTACATTCCATAAGCTGTTGCTGAGCCTGTTAGATGATAGTTTGCTAAGTTAGATGACAAGACCTTACCATAAATTTTTCTCAAAGAATATTATTTATTTTAGATTAGCAACTTTCCTTCTAATATACAAAGTATATTAAACTAAGCAACCTCAAATTCTCTTGCAAAAAAAAAGGAAAGGAATAAAAAACTAATATTTCTAACTAAACTTAATAGGATATAAATTCTTTCAGACTTAAACTACTAGACTATATAAATTTGAGGATAAGTATTAACTATGATAAATGCGAAGTTCATGAATAATAATCACCAATAATCACCAATCAGAAACCAAACTATAGTGACTTGAAGCTCATGATATAGAATTTTTCAAACATGTTCCTTGAAGTTCATGAGAGACAGTCTATTTTGTATACATCCTTTCTACAGTAATTTCCTATAGTAGTTGAAATTACCACAATTACAAAGTTTGTAAGCAAACATGATTACTTTCTTTCAAGAGCACAGGAAAAATAGAAATGCCTTCACTATATTCAATATTGCTTTTTTTTACTCAATATTTTTTCTGTTTTCACATTACTGTCATCATATAGGGCTAAAATTTTTGTGTTGTTTGTTCTTGGTGACTAATAAATTATCTGACCCATAAATTGATAGAATACGTAATTTGTGCTGTCAACTTTATTGACAGAACCTATAATTTAATAAATCTAAGGTAATAAAAAAAAGTAACAGCATTAAAAATATTTAACTTACTCACTGATCCCGATCATATTCCTTTTGTTCAATACATCTAGGGAAATGATCAAAATACAATGGAGATAAAAAGTTATTAATTATTGACTGAATTCAACATAATGTAATTAAATTCACAAAGAAATATTAAAAATATCTTTCCCAGGGGGACAGTAAAGCATAAAATCAAATAAGAAAAAAATACGGCATCTTAACTTTATCTGTCTGTAGAGGCTAAAGTCACAAATTGTGTGGGCACTGCAAGACTTTTTATCACCTGGTTGCTCAGTAGTAGTATGTGGCTTGTTTTAACATATTAGGTGAGGAAGGGGTCTTTTCTGAGTCCAAAGCCAAGAGGCATGGCTAGAACAGAATAAAAGGGACTATCTAAGCTAGTCCCCAAACATTTCTACAGTCCTAGAAGTAATAATGCATAAACACACATTTTAAAAAAACATTGTGAACACTAGATTTTCTCTAAAATCTACTATAAATATTTGAAGCTACTTGAACTTCCAGTCCAATTCATTTTATTTCTACCTTCATATCAGATATAGGTTTAGCCATTTAGAGCACAATGAGTAACTGAAGGCCTTATTTGATTTAGAGTCTCAGGCAGACTCGGGATGTTTGTTTGTTATCTGGGAAAATATTTTCTTTTTCTGGGTTTGAAACAGGAAAGAGTGGGGCCAAGTACAAGTATAGGAGTACAGGATATAAGACACTCCTTGCACGCAGAGACAACACCCCTCGTTTGAATATGGGGTATCGCATATGGTCCCTTGAGAACCACTAGGGGTCACTCAAACATAAATCCAGGAATAGACCCTGAGTTTACCCAGGGTATAATTTACTTTCCATCCCTCAGGGCACAGCCCCGCTACATTTCACCCACATCACCAGTGTGCCCACTCAAATAAACACACACACGCGCGCGCACACACACACACACCCTGAGAAGGTTAAGCACAATGAGCTTGGAACTTCTCTAAATTTATGAAGAATATTGGATAAAATATTTATAAATATGGTCATATGTATGGTATAAAGGAAAGCCTCTTTAAATTCCCAAAAATAGAAATGGTGAGCAACGCAATGACTACAGTATAATAAAACTGAAAGGAACAAACGTAAACACATGGAAAAGAAGTCTTTTAGAATTAAAAAAATATTTTAAGTGTACTCTTAAAAGACAATAGCACTGCAGCACTGTACTTCCAGTGTTCATAGATTTGCTCGAGCAGGCACCAGTAACGTCTCTCTTGTGAGACTTGTTGTTACTGTTTTTGGCATATTGAATACGCCACAGGGAGTTTGCCAGGCTCTGCCATGCAGGCAAGATACTCTTGATAGCTTTACCAGCTCTCCAAGAGGGACAGAGGAATGGAACCTGGGTCAGCCACATGCAAGGCAAACACCCTACCCACTGTGCTATAGCTCCAGCCCATTATAAGGAAAAAAAAAATCACTGTTGCAAAAATGTATAGAAAATAGCAATATAAGAGTTTTATACAAAAGTTATAATGAAATTACATTTTATTAGTAAGAAGTGGTTGAAAATAAAAATAAATAACAAAAAACAGAAATTTTAGAAAGAATTGACAAAATGACATTTTATAAATTGAAAAGTTAATACAGCGATTGATTCACTTAAATATAAAATAAATTAGTAGCTGGTATTATCTACACATGCTCCGACGAGCCTCACACATGAAGGAACCGGCAGAGGTACCCAGGTGTGAGGGACCCAGGGCTGAGATCTCCAAGCCTGCTCCACCCAGATCCCCCATATTCCAGTAGGTAAGCAGTTATACCCACCAACTGCCCCCGGCACCATGTAATCCCATCAACGGCCAACATCCAGAGACTATAAAACCAAGCTCCCGGAAGCACTCAGCCACGACCTCTTATTGTCTATTTCTCATTCTCGAAGAACCTGGCAGGCTGGCAGGCTACAGAGAGTACCCTGCCCGCACGGCAGAGCCTGGAAAGCTCCCTGTGGTATATTCAATATGCCAAAGACAGTAACAACAAGTCTCACAATGAAGATGTTACTGGTGCCTTTGGTTACAATAGGGAGGAAGGGTCGCATAGATATCTTCTGACATGAAGAAAAACATCTATTTTTTTTTATCTAAGTAATGGTTGTATAGGTTTGGTCAATTTGTAAATTTGTCAGCTGGTACACCTATAAACCATGCATTTTTCTATTTATGTTTTACACTTGAATAAAAAAGAGTATCCTAGAGCCAAGGAGAACATACCTTGCACACATAGCATATTAAGTACGTCCCTAGAACCATATGGTCCTGAGAACTGCTAATATGGCCAGCTAGCTCCTTGCATCCCTGGGTCTTGCATCCACATACTCAGAACCTAATATTGAATTCTCTACCTTGGTTGGCCCAGTATCACTTTGAATGATATCCCCAAGCATCCTGAATACTGTTTGAGAGACAGGTCTCAAAAATCAAAAACTTTTGAAAATTTATTGACTTATCCAAGAGGTTATCATCATTACATATACAAATAATTATATATATATATGTATGGCATCAGGAAGAAAGAACAATCCACTCAAAGGAAATGAAAAAATTATTTTGTTCTCAAAATAAAATATGAAAATGTGATTCAAGAATCATACATTCTGATAGTAATTCAAAGATTAAGATCCCAGATAATTAGTTCAGAACATGCAAGTATTGAGGGAATTTTAGTCCCAGGACCCTTTGTTTTAAATGGATAGCTATGAACAAGTATTTCATTGACAAAATATAAATGCACAGTACACATTGATTTATTAATGATCAGGGATAAACAACAAGTAAAATTAGAAAACACCTTTCATCATCAAATTAGCAAATATTTTAAAGCTTAATAATAATAAAGATTTGCAAGAATACGGGAAAATATAGGAATTTTAATAGAATTTATATATATATATAGAATTTTCCAAACAAAAAATTTTAGAACAAAAAATAATTAGAAGCAATTTAAATATTCTTTAGTAGTAAAATTAATGAAGTAACTTTCCTACCAAAATATCCTTAATATCTTTTTTCTTGCCTAACTGATATAGCAAGTACTTCCAGTACTATATTGAACAGCAGTGGAGGTAGTTGGCATTCTTTTCTCATCCCTTATCTTAGAGGGAAGATTCTCAGTTTTTCCCCATTGAGGATAATGCTTGCCATAGGCTTGTGGTAGATGGCTTTAAGTATATTGAGGAAAGTCCCCTCTATACCCATTTTGGCAAGGGTTTTCATCATCAATGGGTGCTGTATCTTGTCAAATGCTTTCTCTGCATCTATTGATGTGATCATATGTTTTTTTCTTTTCTTTTATTGATATGATAGATTATGTTGATTGATTTCCGAATGTTAAACCATCCTTGCATCCCTGGGATGAATCCCACTTGGTCATGGTGTATGATCTTGTTGATGAGTTGTTGAATTAGATTTGCTAGTATTTTGTTGAGAATCTTCACATCTGTGTTCATTAGGGGTATCGGCCTGTAGTTTTCTTTGTTTGTGGTGTCTTTGTTTCCTTTTGATATTAGAAAGATATGGGCTTCATAGAAACTACATGAGAGAGTTTCTATTTCTTCAATTTTTTGGAAAAGCTTAAGAAGAACTGGCAACAGGTTCTCTTTAAATGTTTGGAAAAAATTGCTAGTGAATGGACCTGGGGCATAGATCTCCAAGCCTGCTCGGATTGGACCTGGGGCCTCCTCCACCCAGATCCCCCATCTTCCAGTATGTATGCATTACACCCACCAACTGCCCTCAGCGCCATGTAATCCCATCAACGGCCAAGACCCAGAGACTATAAAACCCTGCTCCAGGAAGCGTGCGGGCGCATTCACAGCGCACAACATCTTATTATCTAGTTCTTACTCTGGAGAACCTGGCAGGCTACCAAAAGTATCCTGCTCACATGGGAGAGTCTGGCAAATTCCCCGTGGCATATTCAATATGCCAAAAACCAGTAACAATGATGGGTGTCATGCTCCTGACCCTGAAAGAGCCTCAACTGTGGCACTTTTTAAAATCTCAGGGCTAGAATGAAGGAGACATTACTGGGACCTGCTCTAGGCAATAGATGAACAACAGGATGACAGCGATACAATGATACAGGAAAATAAGCATTTGTATAACATTTTTTGAGCAACAGAGAAAGTTGAACCTATTGAAAGCAGTTTATAAAAATATAAATCTACGTATTTAACGATAAATCTAATATGTAAAGATAAATATCAACTTCACTTGTAGGATATTACCATAAAAAAGAGTTTTGCATATAATTATAGTCATTAATATATTATAGAAACATCTGGGGAGGGAGGGTTCTCACAAGTGGTGATCAGGAGGTCCAGAGGACCTAGGGATTCCCCCCTATCTAGTCATTGCTAGGGCATAAGATGTAGGGCTGGTTGAGCCCTGAGGATCCAGGGACTAATCAAACCTTCAAAATGATGCTCTTGACCTCCAGGACTATGCCTAATAATTGGGGATCTAAAAAACTGTATACAGTAGTGCTTGGAGGACCATGTAGTTCTAGAAATTGATTCTCCCAGTTTCACTGCATGCAAGGCTACTGTCTTAACTCCTGTATTATCTCTCCAATTCTAGGAACATTTTTAGTACAAAAAATAATTGGAAGCAATTTAAATATTCTTTAGTAGTAAAATTAATAAAGTAACTTTGTTTTTTCCATATAATGAATATAATGGGAAATTACATCAACAAGGATTCAGATAGTCAGAAGAAGTTTGAATCCTATCTTCTTTTCAAAAGTATTTAATAATAAAGTCAAGTTTGTTTCTCTCTTTTCCCTCTCTTACCCTCTCCAGAAAAGTCTGCATAAGCTACATTTCTCCATAGTTATTTCTTAGCAAACATTTAGGATCATGTTTTAATATGGGCCAGATGGAGTAAAAGTTATTTTTTCTAGGAGAGATGACTAATCATTCAAACACTCTCTATAAGGTTATATGACTTTACCTACCTTCAGGTCGAAAAGCTTCACATTCTTGAAAGGAAATTTTGCCTCCTGGGAAGGAAGATTTAGGTAGTCCAAGACTCTCAATGATTCTTGATGTCAAAGTTGTCTCTTGATTTTCCAGATTTATATCAAATTCACATTGCTCATTAAATCTTTTATAAAATATTCTAAAAGTGTCATATAGACCTATTCTGAATTCTGAAATCCCAGATGCATGGAAGGCAAAAAGAAAAGTGAGAGTAGGCGAAGCTCTTTCGGAAATAGCTTGCATATATGTGCCGATAATAAGGTCTCCACTATACATCACTACTATTATAGGTCCTTGACAAGAGCATATATCATGCAATACAGAAAAACGGAATCCTTGGACACTAGCCTTAAACATAAGGCTTAAGTGCTTTCCTCCAAAATGATTTTGCAGAGTTTTCTTTTGAATCCATGTCAAACGAGTTGTCACTGACATAGTCTTTTTAGTCTGTAGAAAAATGAAGCATGTTTTCCACTGATTATAAAAAACATATAATATATGCAATAAAATCAACACTTATGCCTGTTTACATTAAAAGTGAAGTGAATAAAATAAATAAGTGGAATAGATAGCCAAAAAAAAAATTAGCTTTTATTCTAAAAGACGCATCTCTCTTCCCTTACATTTCTCTAAGTAAATTTCTCTTAAAAACATTAAACATGTCTTGATAAAAACAGAAAAAATTGTTTTGCATTAAAAATAAAATAAAAAATTATTTTTAAAAAGAATTTTTAACTCTTACTTCCAAAGTATCTAGGAAAAGTGAAAGCACAAAGTTATTTACCTATGTGTAGAATCTTTACAAGGGCTGAAGCTGAACTAATTGCTCTGTATGTACTGTTAGGCAGCTCTCTTCAAGTGAGAACAGAAAATTCTTTAATAGTATTGTCTTTCAAAACTCAGAGAAATGGAAACTGAAACTTTGTATGGCTCCACCCAAGGGGAGGTTCGAATTTCCCTTCTTGAGGAAGCTCAAACTGATCCAGCTCATGGTAGATAGTAAAATCATATAAAATAATACTGGGGAAATCTAGGAACAAAAATAGATGGAAAAAAACTTAAACCTCATTACATTTTATTTGTCAATCCATTTCTATACATTGACATATGAAAAAAATGTTGTCTTTCTGCAAAACCTATTTTTCAAATTTGTGCTCTTCTCAACATAATTTTATGTAAATTGCTGTAATAGCCCATAACTTGTCCCTTGGCATTTTTGCTTGTCCCCACCCCTTTCCAGTTTATGGTCCTTGATAGACTCAGCTTCAACTTTCCCTGTAAAATCCAAACTATATCATGTTAATTTCACATCCAAGTGAAATGTGATGTGATGTCACATTTTATAAAATCTCATTACTTATTTCACATTGCTAAGAGTCACAAACTTGTACCCTATAGGCTACAGGCACCATAAAGACTTGTTTTGCAAGGCCCACATGATTAATTTTCTTCTTTTTTATTTTTGAATTTTGAACATTTTTACATTACTGGGCATCTGCTCTCTAGTTTCCTACTGTTTTCCTTCTTCCTGGTTTTGACAAATTTAAATGATCTAGTTAGCTCAGAAAGAAATTTATACTTTTGAATATTAAGAAACAACAGCAACATCAATTTTTTTAAAGTATGTTAAGAAGCTGGAGAGATAGTTTGATTTCTGGATGGTTACTTCTCATATAGGCTGTCTAGGTACCTAGACTCAATTCCTAGTATTGCATGTTCCCCTGAGCACAGATAGGAGTAGTCCCTGAGCACCACCAAGCACGGGTCCCACCACCAAACAGTATTTTATGTTAGTTACTTAGCTAAAAATAATGTTAACAATTATGAATGCTTATGAATGCTTATTATTTAACAGACACATAGCATGTATCTTACTTATCCATTTTGATAAACTTAGAAAAATTAAGACTTTAATGTTGTATTATTTTCAAATATACAGAATTTTGGAGAAATTTGCTAAAGAAATTTGAAAGTTTTACTAAAGTTTCCAAACTGCTGAAGCCCTACTTAAGTTATAATTTGAATGAAAAAAGAGATAATAGACTTCAAACATCCAGCCCCACTATCCAGAATGATAATGGGAAGAGAAAAACTTTATTAGCAATCTGCTAGCAGGTTGGAAGATGATGGACTTATGTTCTAGGGAGCCATTGTGAAAGAAGGGTTAGAGCATTGTTGGCAGGTTGTTCCATAAGCAAGACTCTTTGCCTGGAGTAGAGTAGATGTGGAGAATGTTAGTTAACATCCATATTCAATTCATGGAGTGTTTACCTTTGAAGTTGCCTTAGTTATGCATCTGGAAAACTAATTTTCCTTCTGGGGAGCTCATAATTAAAGGGATGATCTTGCCTTACTATTGGGAAAGCATATTTGAGGAATGATAACTAACCCCTTTCATCCAAATATTGAGAATGCGAGATATAATAATATCACCCAAATGTCCAATGACAAATGGGTGGTCGTTTATGTATGAACAATAGAATATTAATCAACTGTAGGAAAAGATGAAATCTTGCAGATCACTGAAACATGGATAGTACTGAAGAGTATCACGTTAAGCAAAATAAATCAAAGAGAGAAGGACAAACACTGAGTGATTTCACTAATCTGTGGAACAAAGGAAAACAAAGCAAGGGGATAGGCAGTACATAACAATAACGTATTTTTGCCTTGGACAGTGCAAGATGTAGAGGAATGAAAATAGGATAGATGTGACACAGGGAAGTGTTTGAGAGGCATGGGCAATTTTGTGGTAGAATATAGTAATTGTGTGTATCTGTTGTAAAATTTAATAGTATTATAACTATATTACATATAGTTATATACACTTAACTATAATAAAAATTAATTTAAACAATTTTTTAAAGAATATAGCCTTGCTACAAGTAAAAAATAAAGTACGAGTGAAACTATTGAAAAGCTGACTCCATAAAATTGACCAAATATATTATTGGAAGTGGTGTCTTGCTCTGATCACAAGGAAATTTGGAGGGCAAACAGCCTCATTTTCATGTTCAGTGCCCAGGAAATGGGGGAGAGGGAGAGAAGTAGTCTTGTCAAAATCTCCTTTTTATGATCAGGTGCACTGCCTTTTAGATTGCTGACTGCAAGACTTTGAATAAGACTCTAGCAGAAGATTTAGATTTTTAGCAGATTCCCTGTGTGTGTGTGTGTGTGTGTGTGTGTGTGTGTGTGTGTGTGTGAGAGAGAGAGAGAGAGAGAGAGAAAGAGAGAGAGAGAGAGAGAGAGAGAGAGAGAGAGAGGATATCTAAGAGCTTGAGATAATAGAATTCTCAAGCAGAGAAAACTAAGAACTACAAAAGACTTCCATATAAAAATTACAAGCAGTGAAATCACCATCTGGATACCTTCCTCATTCGGCCCCAGTGTTTTATGGCAGGCTTAAAAGAGCAAGAGATCTCTGTTTTGTATTATAGGAATTGCTTCAAGAACTTAGAATGAAGTAAGAGGATCTATGATTGAGCTGAGGATCAGTTTAACATTCTTGACAAATATATTACAGCATCAATTTTACTGAAATGCACAAGGCTTAGCTCCTTAATAACAAATTAATGCATGTAAAGATGGGGAAGGTATTCAATTGGAAGTCTATATTCTTCCAAACTATAACAAAAGATTTTATATATATTGTTGGGAGACAGCTAGTTGAATATTAAGAAAGTTCTTGTCCTGGGGATGTGTTGTCTAAAGGCTGGTTTAATAGAAGCCATTTTCTTGGGGTTACGCAATCTAAGGGCTGACTTTCTTGTTTTTCTAGAGGGCTCTTTCCTCTTTCTTATGGCAGAACATGTTGCTAAGGTGTATAAATATGTGACCAAGGAAAACATCATGGGAACTATGTAATTATAGAAAAACATCATTGACGTCTAGAAACCCAGTATATTCTAAACTTATGTATCCTGAACATTTCTGAATATTTTTCCAATGTATGCTTCCATCTAGAGACTTATAAAAGTCTGTTGCTTGTCCAATAAAGATGCTGCATGAGCACTGCTTGTACAGCCCTCCTTACCCTGTTGCCCTTCTCCCTTCACCTCTTGGACCCTGTTTGACTTAGCTGCGTGGGAGGCGGCGATACATAAATTTTAATAATCAGAATTTCTAATTCTCCATATCCATTGCAAGCTTCTTGCAATCACATTCTGAGGACTGCTAGACTGTATCACTGCTCTTTTCTTTCAGTTTGTGGGCCACATCGGTTGGTGTTGAGGGTTTACTTCCAGATACATGCTCAGGGATCACTCCTGGCTGGGATTGGGGTCATATGTGGTGCTAGGGATCCAACACTGGTTTACCACATGCAACGCAAACTGTACCACCTCTCCAGCTCCAATACTCTTCGTTAAACAAAAATTCTAATTTGTTAATCAAAGGGAAAGAATTCAGGCATAATGTGCAGGAAGAAAAAGGGAGAGATCCTCACACAGCCAGTGATAAGCATGCCTGGAAACAACATATGCCCAAACCAGACAAGTCCAGCTGGAGCCCCCAGGGTGAATTTATCGGCAAGACCCTCAGGTAGCCAATGATAAATGTGTTTGGAAACAACATATGCCCAACCCAAACAAGTCTAGCTGGAGTTCCCAGGGTGAATTTCACCAGTCTCACAGAGGAGTGCACTCAGTCCAGCTAAACTCAGCCAGTAGCTCCACCATAAGATTTTCTATTAAAAGTTTCAAAGAAGCTCCACCCCTCACAAACAAGTAATTCAATAATTAGGGAGTGTGTCTTACCTCCTGTATCTTACCTGTGTCTGTCTGTCCCTGTGGAACACTCAAGTGTTAGAGCATGGGCAAGCAAGATCAAGAAAGGTCAGAGTGATATGCAGTATAGCAATTTAAAAGGCCTAGGTGCTTTGGGAACTTGTTAGACCAGGTTTAAACAAAGATTTCTTATCAGAATGTTGAGCCTAGAGAGAAAGCAAAACTCTCAATCTAAATTTCTTATTGGAAGAACATTAATGGTTTTTAACAGTTACAATTCTTTTGAAATTCAGAATCTGTACTATCTAGAAAGAGCTGCGGAACTAGAGCCTGACTAAAGTGAAATAAGAGTTCAGAGAATGCAAGGCTGTATCTTACAAGCCCCAGCAACTTTAATGAAAAATTAGGCAGATTTACAAACAACAGGTACAGAAGCCATTAAAATAAAGTTTCCTCAGGACTGAAGTGATAGTACAGCGGGTACAGTGTTTGCCTTGCACTCGGCTGGCCCTTCTTCAATCCCTGGCACCCCATATGGTCCCCCAAGCAATGCCAGGAGTAATTCCTGAGTATAGAGCCAGGAGTAACCCCTGAGCATAGCTGGGAGTGATCCAAAAAGAAAACAAACAAACAAACAAACAAACAAAAAGTTTCCTCATGTTTTCATAAACGTTGGCAGTTTTTTCTTATGGTAATATCAAAGTTTGGTAAGAAACAAAGGCCTTTTTCTGTCTGAAAGCATGTTTGTATTCTTGTGGAATTGTTAAAGTATCTGGTGTAGAAAGCTCATGATTTGAAATAACAAAGGTACAAGAACTTTTGAAATTAAGTCAAAGAAAGTTTCTCATGTTGCACAAAAATTGATGGTTTAAAGGTCTTATGCTGGTATATCAATGTATAAATTTGTATCTGCATTGGATTATTAGAATATTTGACCCAGAAAATCTTCAGTTAAAATAATTGTACGTGAAAACAGTTTCAAAGAGTCATGGTTTAGTTTAAAATATGAGTTTCTACAGTTGCAAAATTGGTTGCAAACCTTATCCTACCAGTGTTTTATTTGATCTCTGAGACTTGGTTGCTAAAATTTCTAGAGCTACTTAGCAGAGAGTCATAATGGATCAATCACAGATGTCAGACTGGTAGTCTGAAGCCATAGCATAGCACTTTGGTAAAAGTTTGAGATAAGAATGGAGAATTTCATGGGAAATGTGGAAAATTTTACTGACTACTAATCAGTCTGTCCAGTAAGTGAAAATTTATGCTATTATTATGATAGCCACTGGATCAATAGCACAGCAGGTAGGGCATTTGCCTTACACACAGCCAACCTGGGTTCAATTCCTCCATGGAGAGCCCAGAAAGCTAACGAGAGTATCCCACCCACACAGCACAACCTGGCAAGCTTCCCTTGGGATATTCGATATGCCAATAACAGTAACAAAATGTCTCACAATGGAGACATTACTGGTTCCCGCTCGAGCAAATCTATGAACAACAGGAAGACAGTGACAGTGACAGTGCCTTACCAGCAATTCCATATGAATGAACCAAACACTTCAATAAATTGATAGTACCAAATTATCATGCTCTGAAGCTTTTGAAAACATGATTGTTCTATACATGCTCCGAAGTGATAGTTTTCACCTAAAGACCAACATTGGGGTTCATTGTTCTATACTTCCTCTATTCCTTTAGTGGAAGAATCCACCAAAATAATTTAAGTATTTGGGACTGGAGAGATCGTAAAGTGGATGGGGTTTTGCCTTGGTGTAGCTGACCCAGGTTGGATCCCTGGCATCCCCAATGTCCCCGAAATAGCACCAGGAATATTTCCATAGTGAAAAGCCAGGAGAAATCCCGAGGATGTCTGGGTGTGGTCCAAAAACAGAACAAAAGAGGGAGTATTCTAAATGTTTCACATATGCATGTTTCTTTTGTTTAGTCAACCTAAGCTAAATGTTAGAGTAGACTAGGATTTATTGCTGTATATTTTCTAGGCAACATTCAAACCACTATCAGTGGAAGACCCACAGGTACATCTCACAAGGCAAAACAGATACCATATCTTCTCTATAAAATGAAGTGAATGACTTCCTCAAATAGAAAGACTTTCGATATGTTTCCTGAGTTTTAAGCAGTTTCCAAACCTTGGGCCACTCATATAGTACTGGGAAATACCACTCTACCAAGCACAGTTTTCTTCTTGTCCTTCAATTACTCTCCCCTATGTACTTTTTTATGCACATATACATTGATCTCTTGAACACTTGGCATCCTGATACTCATCGATTTGCTCGAGTGGGTGCCAGTAACATCTCCTTTCGTCCCTATCACTTGCTAATGTAACCCAATGGTGTCTACTCACTCCAGGAACATGAAGAGCCTCAAACCAATCGTTCAGGGTCTTGATGAAGAAGTCTGACCATCTCATAGGTGGGTGGCCATACGATCTTTTGACGTCCCATGGGATCCAGTCGGTAACAGTTCTAGTTCAGCAGACATCTCAAAATCACATTATGTGTCCAGCCCATCTGATTCTTTTAAAATTTTTTTTCTTTTTGGGTCACACCTGGCAATGCACAGGGGTTACTCCTGGTTCTGCACTCAGGAGTTACTCCTGGCAGTGCTCAGGGGACCATATGGGATGCTGGGAATCGAACCCAGGTCGGCTGCGTGTAAGGCAAACGCATTACCTTAAAATGTACCAAAAATAAATGGTCTAAACTCTTAAAATATGTAAATATTTATACAACAATATTTATAAAAAATCGTTAGACTTCTTTCCCATACTAAATCCCATGCCTGAAATTTCTACCTGCAGTTTTGCTTACCTTGTCATTTCTGGCCTGAATCTCAGAACAATTTGAGTCTATCTATATAAATTGTGTTGGGGAAGAAAGAAGGAAGCATGGAGTTGTATATTGGCCATAATGCTAATTACATTTTCAGATTTATCCCTGTAAACTACATTTCCTTTACCCCAAGAGAAAGATTTTGCAAACATTTCTAACTTGTATGCATCTAGTTTTACTGATAGCAAAAATAAGTCTCCTTAATGTCTTTAGTTTATAGACAGATATATTTAATCCAAGTTAAGACTGTAATGTACAAGGTTTAGAAAATTCTTGGTGCCTTCTTTTTTTTTTTTTTTTTGGTGCCTTCTTGAAAGAGAAAAATTAGTGGGATTTCCAAACAGGGAAGATAAAAAACAAACAAACCACAAAACAGTTTTCTCCCTTTATGGATCCATTTCTCACACCAATCTTTTCCAACATAAATTCCAAATATGCATTTAACTTATTGGCTGTTTGTGTCCTAAAGTAATCTAGAGCCAAAATATTTGGAGTTATAACAACGTTTACATATTTCTTTTCTTAGTACAAAAAAAGAAAACATAGCTTTATTTTTTTTTTTTTCAGACAATGTTGATTCATTGGAATAGCCCCTCATTGTTTATCTTTCATGGTCTATTATTCTTCCTCTTCCTTTCAAGGTCTATATTTCCTCCTAAACATACCTATCTACCTTTTCAAAGAAACTAAAGAATATACATCTTGAATCTAATTTTCCATGTAACAAAACCATTTGCCCAAATTGTCACTGACTCCAAAGACGAGATTGATGAATTAAAGGTTTTATAGTCAGTGGGACACCAGTATGTTACTGGGCCTGCTCAAGCAAATTGATGAACATTGAGAGGACAGTGCTACAGTGCTACATAGCCAGTGGGGGGACAAGAGCGATAGAACAGTGATAAGGCATTTGCCTTGCATGCAGCCGACCTGGTTTGATTCCTCCGTTTCTCTCAGAGAGCCCGGCAATTTACCGAGAGTATCCAGCCTGCACGGCAGAGCCTGGTGAGCTCCGCGTGGTGTATTAGATATGCCAAAAACAGTAACAAGTCTCAGAATGGAGACGTTACTGGTGCCTACCCGAGAAAATCAATAAACAATGAAAGGACAGTGCTACAGTGCAGTGCAATAGTCAGTGGCAATAATCCATAGTGATAGCTTGTTATTTCTCAGATTATGTGGAGACAAACACAAATTCCCTTTTTTTCATTCTTTGTTCCCTTTGTCTGAATCATAATTATCTTTGCTGCTAGTCTATTTTTTTTTGGTTGTTTTTAGTATGTTTCTGGTTCTACAACTTTAATCCCTATGACTGTTTTATTCTTAGCTCATTTTTATAGACTCCATGTCTTCCATTGACTCACAACCCCACACATTCATTTAAACAAAGATTTACCTGTGGCTTTGATTTCAAAAATATACCTTTTTGGAGAGAGCGAGAGAAAAAAAAGAGTTAGCGAGAGAGAGAGAGAGAGAGAGAGAGAGAGAGAGAGAGAGAGAGAGAGAGAGAGAAATTGCCTGCATACAGGCCAAGGGATGGGATGGCAGGAACGAGAGGGAAACTGGGGACATTGGTGGTTAGAAATGTATACTAGTAAAGGGACAGGTGTTGAAACATTACATTATTGAAATCCAATCATGAACAATTATGTAACTGTGCATCTCAATGATTCAATTAAAAATAAATAAAAAATATAAAATATATGCCTTTTTGATAAGTATCTTATTAAATTATTATCCTGCAATACTAAGAACTTCAAAGAAAACAATAATCATGCCTTACTATAGTATAGGTAACCATTAAATGGAAGCATACTATTTTATTTTATATTTTATTTTATTTTATTTGCTTTTTGGGTCATGCCAGGCAATACACAGGGGTTCCTCCTGGCTCTGCACTCAGGAGTTCCTCCTGGCGGTGCTCAGGGTACCATATGGGATGCTGGGAATCGAACCCGGGTCAGCCGTGTGCAAGGCAAATGCCCTACCCGCTGTGCCATCTCTCCAGCCCCAAGCATACTATTTTTAGATGACTAAAATATTTGAAAGTAAGAGTTAAAAACAAATTGTAAAAGCTATCTTCTATAATTTTGAGGTGAGGGGAACCGAGAAATAGTACAAGGATTTAGGTTCTTGCGTCCAGCTCAACCCTGGTTCAAATCCCCAGCACCACCTATGGTCCCTTGAGCAGTTCTAGAGGTCACTCCTGAGCATAGAGTCAGCAACAATCCCTACACGTTACCATGTGTGACCCCTTTTCCTTCCCCAAAATAAGGATCAGAGAGAGAAAATTCTTTTTGAATTTTATTTTATTTTTTGTAATAATACAATAGTTCAATATTATTGTTTTATACTTGCAGACCTGCTATTCAATACCCACATCGAGTGTCCCAATTATCCATTATCCATGGTCCTCTTCCCATCTCTATACCCTATGATCGCAGCTCTGTTTATTGCATCACAAGGCTGTTTCAGTAGGAATTATCTACACCATTTCTTTGTTCCTTTATAGTCTATAAATGAGTGAGACTATTTGTTGTTGGTCATTTTATTTCTGACTCTCTTCACTTAACATGACTTCTTCCAATATCATCAGAGTTTCAGCAAACTTCAATATTTTGTCTCTTTTCATAGTTAAATAGTGTTATATTGTGTGTACTTATACCTTAATTTCTTTATCTGTCTATCTGTTTTTAGGTACTTGGGTTATTTCTAGACCTTTGCTATTGCAAATAATGCAATAAAGAACATAGGCATATATTTTCACATTAATTTGTTTTTGTTTTACTTTGGTGGTAGATGCCCAAAAGAGGAATTACAGGGATATATGAAAGTCTATTCTTAGTATTTAATAAGACTCCAAAGATGTTGTCAATTTTTTTTCCTGTGTACATAATGTTTTAGAATTTGTTGAGAGAAAACTTATCTCTTTTTAATTTGCACTACAAAACAATTTGGGTACTCTTTTTTGGAGATGTGGGAAGAATGACTTGAAATTTAATTTATGAAAAGCAAGGATAGTTCTTTACAAACAGAAACTTTATATTTTTACAGAATAAAGTTGAGTCCCTTAAAATATTTATTTTAATTAATCTAAAGTTTATTTTTATTCAAAGATCAGTGAAATGTTCTCCCAACTTATTTTTGTTTCTATTTTCCAATATTGAATTCTCTCCCTATCACCTCCTATATAAAAAGACAAACAGAATACAGGTTATTGCTACTGTAGAAATGTACAAGGATAAGTAATGGAAAGCATGATTGCTCTCAGTTTGTGCTAAGTTCTATGAATATTAGGAGAGTAAACATACAAAATCCTAATTTATAGAATTCACAATTTATTTACTAAAGTCAATATCTATGCACTTATTTTGTAATAATTCATGTGCTTGATTAGTACTCAAAGAACTTTATATGAAAGGCTAAAGAAGAGTGAGAAAGGCAATATTTAATTTTTGAGGATATTTGCAAATATACTATAAAAACTAAATGATAAATAGTGCACAAATATAGAGGGGGCTTAATTCTATATCATGACTTCTTAGGTGGTCTTGGGTTTGAGGTGTAACTGTTCCTAGAGGAAACATCAGTTTCGTGCCTGTCATCGGGAAGGAAGATAAAATACAAATGAATATCGTCACAATAAGACTGTCAACAGAAAGTAGCTCCAAGTGAGATGTGCCAGTCCAGGTTTAGGCCAAGTGTCAGGATCAATATAACTGATGTCACATGCAGAGCTGGAACATGCCCGTAATTTAAACTGAAAGCAAAACAAAACAGTTGCAAGTGAGGCATTTATCCTTCTATGGATGTCAGAACTAGGGCAGACAGAAAGAGAAGAGCCATCCAATGAAGGATAGGTTTGGATTTTTTTTCAAAAGTATCTCCAAAAGTATCAGTGGTTTTGGAGAGAAAAAAATGGAGCAAATTACCTGGTTCCTCGAGAGGCAAATCCTCTAAGGCAGCATTTGCAGCACGCAGCATCTGTTTCAGTGCATTCAGAATTAGAATGTCTTTTAAGGGGTACAGTTTCAATTCTGAAGCATAGTTTTGAACCATCAAGATATTACAAATAGGGATGTTTAGCATTTTTGTGAAATTCATTATCTGTGGAAGAAATGAATTTAGAAAGCACAAATCTTATACCTTAAATTTGAATTTAAACAAAATTTAAGAAAGAAACCAAAAATGTAATGATTTGAAAAATTCTCTCCAGAACATAAATGTAATCCAAAAGTCAGAAATAAAATTACCAAAACAGGCCACTGATCCATTTACCCATGTATTTGTAATATAAGCATACATATAGAAACACACACACACACACACACACACACACACACACACACAGTGTAACATTACTACAATAGTGTCTGGTTACAAATAGTATTTTTACCTGGTGGCTAGAAGTTATGAATTCATTCATGTTTAAAAAGTTGTCTTGAAGAATATTACTGCAATCTTTCAGTTTAGTAATCAAGGCTACAAGTGGTATACCTATAGCAAATAGATAAATTGATTATATTATGAATGTTTCAACTGAATAAGTAAGTGTATATGAAAGTCCTTCTATATAAGGTGTCTTGAGATTTAGAGAAGAAAATATCCCCAAGAAATCTCAATGAAGAAATTCTTCTAAGAAAAATTACCTTTATATTCAACATGAGAGATCATTTCTAAGTCCAACTAAACTCACACTAATTCGAACTAGGCTAATATTCCATTCAAAATGTTTATCGCAAAGTGTCAAGAAGCAAAATGAAAGTGGTTGCTGGGCCTTAATGACTAAAAAAGAAACTCAGTAAAGAAAATGAAGAGGGTTATGTACAATCAGTTTCTAGAAGTAAAGTGTGCTGGACTCACAGGGTGCTATTAGCTTCCCTTTCAAACCACAGATATCAGATTAGTTAACCATGCTCAATTTCTAGCCGAATAAAAATTCAGTCTCAATAACAACTACTTCCCTAGGATAAAAATGCAAATTTGACATCTTAAAATATCACAAAAGAGATTCCTGATATTCCTCTACCTAAACTTTTTTATATTTTTCATCACATAAATACTGCGTTTGCTTCTCGTAATTCATGATAATTGCCTTCACTATCTGGTCTTCATTAATGCTTCAAAGAATAATCAGCTAAGTTGACTATTTAAAGCCTGGCTTCTAGGAAAGAATAGGTGTCAATGAACAAATGTAACTTTTGCAATTTTTGCTACAGTGCAATTTTTCTCTTACAGAACTAATACTTACAAATGCTTACATGCCCTAAGTATTGATATCTAACATGATGATAATCCATATGACTTTGAAAAACTCATTTTGAATCTTAGCACTTCTGGTTTAGGAGAGAAAATAAAATGCGTGCATGCTTGTCTTGCATGTGGTTGACCCTTTTTTGATCCCCAGCATCCCATATGGACCCCTGACCAGTGCCAGGGATAATTCCTGAGTGCAGAGCCAGAGGTAACCCCTAAGTATAACCAGATATAACCCAAAACCTTTCTTAAAATTATGAAACAACATAGAATAATACTATAATTTTTATATGCAAAATTTATAGAAATATTAATTTCCTGGTTTTGACTATCATAGTCTAGTCATATAATGTGCAGAACTGGCTCCCTATTGGACCACAAAATAAAAAAATAACACAAGACAAAAATCTGTGGCTATTCTATGTTTTAAAGACTGAAGACAAGGAGGTAGGGCCTTTTTTTAGTAATAGTTATGACTGATCCTTAGCAGGTGTACGCACCAACACACCAGCACCAGACTTCTGGAAATTCAGTAAAGAAAACATAGAACTCCTGTGTTTACTCTTAGAAAATTTATGTAAATATAAAGCATTCAGTTTTAAAAAATTAAAATACACTGACACTCACCATGATTTAATACTTCTTTCTGAATTTTCTTGAGCTTTACTACCATTTCAGAGGAGAGATTCAAGATAGACTTGATATCTAAGACATAGGCCACACAGTGAATTCTGTCCTTCAGTGATGGAGAGGTGATAAAGGTAGGATCCTGGGGTGTAATTGGTTTATGAGGATTAAACTGTGAAATAAAAAAACACAAAAATTTAGAAAGCTTCTGCTCAATACTTTAAGACATAATTCATGCCTCAAACAGGACCACCACTAACCTTCAATTTCATGTTTTATTCTTCACTGCTACCTTTCCCCAAAATTAATAGGATACTCTCCATATTTCCATTCCTGAGAAAATGTCATATGCCATAATTTTTTCACATATATTTTGAGGGAGACATAACTGACTATGTTCCAGACTTCACTTATCACTTAATCACTTAACCTCCCGTTAGTTGTCGATTTGCTCGAGCGGGCGCCAGTAACGTCTCCATTTGTCCCTGTTGCGTGCTAGTGTAGCCCAATGGCATCTGTTTGTTTCGGGAACATGAAGGGCCTCAAACCGATCGTTCATGATCTTGACGAAGAAGTCTGACCATCTGGAAGGTGGGCAGCCACGCGGTCTTTTGACATCCCGTCGAATCCAGTCGGTAACAGCTCTAGTCCAGCGGTCGTCTTTAAATCTCATTACGTGACCAGCCCATCTGATTTTCAACACCTTGGCATATGAGACAGCGTCCCTGATCCTTGATCGTCGACGGATGTCAGAACTCCGAATTCGTTCTCTCATTTGAGTGAAACGTGATATTCCAAGCATAGCTCTTTCTATTCTTCTTTGGGAGACCTGAATGGCGTTCTCATCTTGTTTGCGTAGGGCCCAGGTCTCTGAGGCATATGTTAATGCGGGAAGAACAGTGGAATCAAAGAGATGTGCCCGGAGCCGGAGGTCCTTTGTCCTCTTAGCTATTTCTTCGACGTTCTTGAAGGCGTTCCAAGCCGCTCTCTTCCTCTTGCGCAGCTCAGGTGCCAGGTCATTTGTCATGTTGACCTCTCGACCTAGGTACACATAGCTGTTGCATTCGGAGATGGTCATTCCGTTGAGAGCGAATGGGGCATCAGGAACGAGGCTGTTTCTCATAAACATTGTCTTCGTAACGGCAATGGAGAAGATTATCCATGACTTCTACTCAAATCTCTTCGATAGCCATGTTCCAGACTTACTCCAAGATATAACACCTGGTGGGGACCATATAGAGTGCTGGGAATCTAATATGGGTCAGTTGCAGGAAGACAAGCATGTTACCTGCTGTATTATCTCTTCTTTAATGCCATTATATATACATACATACAAGTATAATAGAAGGTGATGTATTGCTTTTCTAAAAATTATAATTATCGGTGAGTTATAACATCAATAATAAAATGTTTTGAGAGTACAAGAAATAATTTTTTGTCAAAGGACATTTTAAAATTTATTTTTCGGAGAGGGGCCGCTTGAGTTTTCCTTCATGCCCCAAGCAGAGACCTGGTAGCTGAAGACCTCCAGAACCCAGCCACAGCCATGCTCAAGGTCATTCTCCACACACTCGAATGAGTCTTAAGTATGAAAGAACTGGCAGAGGAACCCAGGTGTGCAGGACTTGGGGCTGAGATCTCCAAACCTGCTCAGATAGAGACTGGGCCACCTCCTCCCAGATACTCCATTTTCTAGTAGCTAGGCAGTCACACCCAAAAACTGCCCCCAGCGCCATGTATTCCCATCAATGGCCAAGATCCACAGACTATAATGAGACTCTGGGAAGTGCGAGGTTTGTGACCTGGAGACCACTTGTAGTCTAGTTCTTCGTCTCCGAGAATTTAGCAAGCTACTAAAGTATCCTGCCCAGCACCGCAAAGTCTGGCAAGCTCCCATGGCATATTTGATATGTCAAAAACAGTAACAATGAAGGGTCTCATTCCCCTGGCTCTCAAAGAGCCTCCAATGCGGCACCGTTGGGAAGGACTAGTAAAGAGAAGCTGCTAAAATCTCAGGGTTAGGATGAATGGAGACGTTACTGTGCTCACTCCAGCAAACTGATATACAACGGGATGACAGTGGTACATTGTGATATACTGTTGGATATCAACCCTAAGTATTTTAGGCTTCACCAGTAAATTATCCCTTTTCTCCTCCCAGAGAAGCTTACCACACCCGTGCTAATATCCCTAATTTGGTTAAAGCCTATCTTCAACCTTTCCTTTGTGTTGGATATTGACCCCTTTCTTCCTCCTAGAGAAGTTTAACATACTCTTGCTAGCATCCCTAACTTAGTTACAGTTCATCCTTAACCTTTCCCTTCTATTTTACCTCTCATTGTCACAATTCTCTAAGTCAGTCTTGATTGCTTGTAAGCCAAAACTTTCTGAACTTGTATTTGTACTGCTTTGTATTTGAAGTGCTGTATATTTGTACCTGCTTTTTTATATTTTACTATAGAGCAATGTTCTTTGGTTGAACACAGAAAGAGCATTAATACTATCCTTCTATATTTGGGCATTGATTGGCTCTGAAATATATCTGCTCCGGGGCATAATTACTTGGTCGTAATTACTTGACTCAGGCTCCAGTTGCTGTAGCTTCATCCCAAAAGGGAGGTCCCCCCGTGGGACTAGGATGGACCCGGGGCGAGTGGCAGAGCTACCTGGCATCAAAATGGGACATTCTAGAAAGTATAAATGCATGGTCTTGATGCAAACTGTTACAACTTAAGAGACAGGACCTTCATGAGGGGGGACAAGCTGAGCTGGCCTGAGGACTTAGTCTGGGATTTACGGTAAGAGCCTTGCTTGCTCTCAGAGCCCAGAGAACTGTTAAAAGCCTTGCTTGCTCTCAGCACAGAGAATCAAATGTTGGGATCTTTTCTCTTACTGTGTTTATCCAAACAACTGTAAGTATTGATAACTTATACAACTAGAGGAAAAGACAAAAGCAATGTAGATGTCCCTGAGAGACAGAGAGTGTCTTCTTGCATTGACCTCCCCAAGAGAATTTCCTCTGCCAAATATTTGTCTATGTAAATGACCAATCCCACCTGGCCTTACCTCAACCCCCTTTCAGATGTTCTATAAGTATGCTAGCAACTCTGCATTAAACGGGCTATTTTCACCATCGATCTGTGGTCCCTGTTCTTGGCTGGGAAGGATTGTTAACAGCTCTGAGGAAAAGGCAGATGTCCTTGCATCTTCACAGCACCCGCACCATTCAGTGGTTCAGTGAATTTACAATATACAATTTAAAAAAAAATAGATTTTTCCAAGTTGAGAATTACAGGTACTGAGACACAAGAGTCCTGAAGAGATTCAGCAAAAATTGACCCAACTAGGAAAAATTTAAGACACCAGATACTCAAAATGACAAAATCCAAAGATAGAGACAAAATATTGAAAGTGGCAAAATCAGAAAAGGAACTTATATACAAAGAAAAGTCTATAGATGTTCATAAGATCTGTCAATTGAAACTCTGTGATCTAGAAGAGTATGGAGTGATATAGGACAAAAATTCAATGAAATAAACACCTTACCAAGAATACTCTACCCAGCTAGGTTTGAAGGAATGATAGAGATCATCACAGACAAGCAACAGCTTAAGGAATTCATAGCCTTGAAACCAGTTTTGCAAGAAGCATTAAAAAATCTTCTTTACTGGGCAGAAAAATCTTTTCAATACAGGGTATTAAGTATAGCACTCACTAATAGTACATGTTGTTCTTTTCTAGATTAAGAAAGGTATACATACTCCTAGCCTGAGAAGGGATTTTATACATTTATAATAATAAATTAACATCTTATTTATATTGGTCAAAATTACTTAGCAATCAATCATCACAAATTGACTTTTATTTATTTATTTTCTGATAATTCCATTTGCCATTCCTTTAAGTAAGAAATAAATTTATTATAGGCCTGCCTAAAGGAATGGAGTATGGGAGGAATCCTACGGACATTAGTGCAGAAGGAGGAGCACTGGTGGTGGGACTGGTGTTGAAAATTCTATGCCCGAAACAACTCTATTATGAACAACTTTGCTAATCATGGTAACTTGATACAAATTTTTAAAAAAGAGAGACTATATTCAAAACCTAAGGAAAAAGTGGAGAGGTGGTGCTGAAATATGGTAAATTGTTATGAATAAAATCCTATCTGAAACAATATTGCAAACCAGAGTGCAATAACTTTTTTAAGTTATTGATAATAGTTACTTTTTTGATAATGAAGATAGCATCTTCTTTCATTTTCTTAGTCTTGATAACTTGATAATTGCCATAATCTGTGCTTTCTACATAAAAAATCAGACTTATAAAGAAAAGTATGCAACTTGCTCATAAATATATACTTATTTAATTGGAAAATGAGTTTTAATGCAAGGTATTTAAGTAGTCATTGAATTGTGAAGCCTACATACTTACCTTATAGCACAACACTTCAACAAGTAAGGTTAATTGCTCAAGTCTTTTGAGTTATGGTCAGAAGAGTGCATGAAATTAAGATACTTTATACCAGTGTAAAATTTAAATATAAATATATTTCCCTTTGACCTTTTCCAAGAAACAAAATGAATAAAGTCATTCTCTTTATACATAGTTTTCAATGGTATAGAAAATAAAAAAGGTACACTGCTTCAGTTATAAGAATACTTATTCATTTAAAATAATGTAGCACTGCAGTACTTTCCTCCCGTTGTTCATCGATTTGCTTGAGCGGGCCTGGTAACATCTGTATTTGGCATATCGAATATGTAGCTGGTAGCTTGCCAGGCTTTGCCGTGTTGGCAAGATACTCTCGGTAGCTTGCTGGGCTCTCCAAGCAGGGCAGAGAAATCGAGCCCGGCTTGGCCGGGCAGACTGAGTGCAAGGCAAACGCCCTACCGCTGTGCTATCGCTCCAGCTCCTTAAAACAATGTAGCATTGGTAAATGTTTAAACCATATGACAGAAACTTAAACTTCATAAGGGTATGAGTTCAACTAAAAGCATTAGTGGAAGTAATCATAACTGTTTTAAAGTTTGGAGAATTCTTACCTGATATCTATCTGGCATACTTCCTTTTAAGATGTGAGGTATGTCATCCACACACAATCCTGCTCCCTCCATATCATCAAGGCCCATAGTGTCACACAACATAAATGGCAGAGATTTACCATATTTTCCATCTCCAATGGAATATATTCTATACTGTAAGGCAAACCATCTGAATTAAAAATTTATTTTTAATTAACATTTGAGGCATGACTGCAAAAATAATAGAGCCTGGATAATATATTAACATTGCTGTCCTTAAACATTTTCATTTAGAATAGGTTTAGACGGATAAAAATCTTTCAAGATCCTCAGGAAACAAAAATTGACCTTCTTTTTTTAAAGATACACTTCAGCTATGATGATAAACATAAGCTTTTCCAATAAAGTTTAGATAACAATCATATAGGCAAATGGTAACCTGATGTTCTACTGGCTATATTTATAAAAGACAAAACAGATATTAAACTACAATGGTGATAAAGAGATACGAACAATGGTATATTGATAGACGGATAAATACATCAAGACTGAAGCCATTTCTGGCAATGTTCATCTGGTAGCCTGGAGTTTTCAGCATGGCTAAGTGATGCAGAGCTGCAAGGACCCAGTTACAAGGACAACCACCAGTGTTATCCCAGTGATCTCAGAGGCCACTTAGGCTACATCAGTAATGCGTAAGAGAAAATGTGGCTATATCAAAAATGCTGTGAGGAACAGCCTGTGTGGGGTAGTGAACTCAAGGCCTCACAAGCTATAGACCACCAAGTACATGCTAAAGCAAAACTGGCATTTTATTTCATTGTACTGCAAGCTCAGTCTCTAATAGTATAGAATTCCATTGCAATACATGTTATTCTATGATCTACATCTTCTCTAAAAGATATGCAAGGACGAAGAGATAGTTCAGCAGGCAGGCCACTGGCCTTGCACATAGCCAACTTGGGTTCAACCATATGCTCTACGTAGGGTCCCTCAAGCCCCACCAGGAATGATCCCCGAATAGAGAGCCATTGGTAAGCCCTGAGTACCACTGATTGCACTGCCCACCCCCCAAAAGAAGAAAGATAAAAGAGAAAAGGTATGCATTTGGAAGTGTTAGGTGAAGTAGGATTCTAAAATGATGAGTAATGCTGAGTATATCTACCATATTAAATGTTATTAATTTGCTTATTATCTATATTGTTATCTGATATTCCTGAACAAAAGATTGGAAATCATTTCTATTTAACTCTGCATTCAACACAATTATTAAGAAAAAGTAATATCTCAATCAGTGATCAATGAATTGAGCTATTGCTGCAATATCTTGCTATAGCTACTACTAAACTGATATAAAAATAAAGTCACTTATGTGAAAAAAAAACTAACAAACCATAAGAAATAATGAGACTCCTGAAAATTCTAGAATACACTTTCAGTTATTGAATATGACACAAAACTTGAATGTTTAAGTCTTATATATTGCACTAATTATGTACAGCATAATCATCAGAAATCAATATTAGGTTGGAAAATTCAGAAACAAAAATTCCTATTCATTCTATTTTAAAATTCAGTTAGCAATGATTCACATATGTAACCTTATAAAAATTAACATTTGTATCTGATGTGGTTCCCCCAAATCTGATCTTCATCTATTACCATACAATTTAGTTCTCTAGTTATTACCCATGAAACTCCCAATTCCCTTCTGTTAGCCACTATTTTATTCTTAAATTCTTATATGTCCTTGTTGTTGTTAACTTCTTTATCCGTAATATATGAGTGAAAACATAGCCTGTTTCCTATCTTCATTTGACTTTATTCATTACCCTCTCAGAATATTCCTGCTATTTAAAATGGCATAAATTCATCACTTTCTATAGCTGAACAGTATTGCATTAAGTATCACTTATCACTTAATCCCCGTTATTCATCGATTTATTCGAGCGGGTGCCAGTAACGTCTCCATTCATCCTGGTTGCGTGCTAGTGTAGCCCAATGGTATCTGTTCGTTTTAGGAACATGTAGAGCCTCAAACCGATCATTTAGGGTCTTGACGAAGAAGTCTGACCATCTTATAGGTGGGTGTCCACGTGATCTTTTGATGTCTCGTGGAATCCAATCAGTAATGGCTCTAGTCCAGCGGTTGTCTGTAAACCTCATTACATGTCCAGCCCATCTGATTTTTGATGTCTTGGCAAATGAGACAGCGTCCCTGATTCTTGAGCGTTGACGAAGATCAGAACTCCGGATTCTATCTCTCATTTGAGTGAATCGTGATATTCCAAGCATAGCTCTTTCGATTCCTCTTTGAGAGACCCGAATAGCGTTCTCATCCTGTTTTCGTAGGGTCCAGGTCTCTGAGGCATATGTTAATGCAGGAAGAATAGTGGAATCAAAGAGATGTGCTCGTAGCTGGAGGTTCTTTGTCCTTTTAGTTATTTCTTCAATGCTCTTGAAGGCATTCCAAGCCGCTCTCTTTCTCCTGCGCAACTCAGGTGCCAGGTCATTCATCATGTTGATTTCTCGACCTAGGTATATATAACTGTTGCATTCGGAGATGGTGGTTCCGTTGAGAGCGAAAGGAGTGTCAGGAACAAGGCTGTTTCTCATAAACATTGTCTTCGCAAGATTCAGCTGTAGTCCGACCTTTCCACATTCACGGTCAAAGTCGTTCAGCATTTGTGCCGCTTGGTTGATGTTTGGTGTTATTAGAACGATGTCATCAGCAAAGCGGAGGTGGTGTAGTTGCCGACCATCTATCTTCACTCCCATGTTTTCCCATTCCAGCCGTCGCATGATGTTCTCGAGGGTGGCACTGAAGAGTTTTGGTGAAATGGTATCACCCTGCCGAACCCCTCTCTTGATATGGATGATTATTTCTTTGTAGAATGGTGAGATCTTGGTAGTGAATCCGCAATAGAGCTCACGAAGGATCCTGATGTATTGAGTTTGTACGCCCTGATTGGTTAGGGCTTCTATGACCATTTCCGTCTCAACAGAATCAAAGGCCTTCTTTAAATCAATGAACGTTAGACAGAGTGGCATCTTGAACTCCCGAGATACCTCAATGAGCTTGGTTACTGTGTGGATATGGTCGATGGTACTGAATCCTTTTCGGAATCCAGCTTGTTCACATGGTTGTCCTTCATCTAGTGTTCTGCTAATCCTATTCAGGATGACTCGAGTGAATAGTTTGTAGATGACAGACAATAGGCAGATTGGGCGATAGTTGCCAATGTCGTGGATGTCTCCTTTCTTGTATAGTAGTACAGTCTTGCTGGTTTTCCATTGGAATGGAACCTTGCATTCAGACAGGTAGCGTGTGAAGAGTCGAGCCAATGTATTGATGAGTACTGATGGTAAGTTCTTCAGGTGTTCAGGTCTGATCTTGTCTGGGCCAGGTGCTCTTTGTTTCTTTACAGACGAGATGGCAAGTTGGATTTCGGAAGGGAGAACATTGGGAACGACATATCCATCATGTGGTATGTGGTATGTGGGCAAGTGGATGTGGCTATTAAAGAGATCTGAGTAGAAGTCATGAATAATCTTCTCCATTGCCCTTCTGGAAGATGTGATAGATCCATCATGATGTCGGAGGGCAGTCATCTTGGTTTTGTAGTTGGTGAAGGACAGGCGGGCATTACGAATGTTTTTTCCAGCTTCTGCTGCATCTACCAGTACTGCTTCTCTCCTGTTTTTGGGGTCATCCTTGATGGCTTCTCTGCACTGTTTTGCCAGTTCGGACGTTTGCTTGTGGTTGCTTGAGGCACGTGCCAAGCCACGTTGGCGAATAAGTTCAAGAGTGTTCGAAGAAAGACGGTTTTTTGTGGTTATCTCTCTCTTGGCATTCCTTGCACAATCATGGAGGTGCTGAATCATTCGATCGTATTCTTCATCAATGTTGTCAATGACGGCATCTTCCCATGTTGCCGCAACAGAGCCAAAGAGTTCCCAGTTGGTGGTTGTTCTGGGAGTCCTCTTCTTAAACCTTGCATTCTTTTCTCCTCGTTTTGTGAGGTAGAATTTTGCACGAAGAAGATGGTGGTCTGATCCCGTTTGGAATTTTGGGACAACAGCAACATCGGTTAGGCAAAACCGCCGATTGAATATGATGTGGTCTATTTCATTGTGGAACCGTCCATCGGGAGACTCCCATGTCCAACGTTTAGATTCGGCCTTTTGGAATTGTGAGTTACCATGGAAGGTTTTGGTTGACATGATGAACTCAGACAGTCTGTCACCCTGTTCGTTCCATTCCAGGCCATGGGTTCCAATGTGGAGTTCATCGACTGATCTTCTTGGTCCTATCTTGGCATTAAAATCACCGATTTTAATTTAACAATCAATGATTGTCTGTACTTTTAATGCTCGTACTCTGGCATCTGCTGCATCCATTGAAGACCTTATGGTACAAGCACGAAAGATCAAGTACGACATCATTGGTCTGACCGAAACGAGAAGACATCAATTCCATCATGCTGTTTTCGACACTGGAGAAGAACTGTTCCTTGGAACATGTGATAAAAGAGGCGTCAGTGGTGTCGGTATCCTTGTCAACACAAACTTAGTCACGAGCATTGATTCATTTGAATGCCTAACAACCCGAATCGGATGATTACACTTGAATAAATGTGGCTCACTACCGGCAGTTTCTATCTTTGTTGTCTATGCACCAACATCCAGTTATGGTGAAAGAGAAACTGAGAAATTCTACATGGAGCTAGAGAAGTTCTATAAAGAAGATCACACCTTCTACAAGATCATTGTCGGTGATTTTAATGCATTAAGTATACAAGTTCATTTTTTGTTTGTGCTGTTTTGGGGCCACACTAGGCTTACTTCTGCCTCTGTGCTCAGGGATCATGCCTGCTGGAACTTGAGGAATCCTGTGTGGTGCCAAGAGTTGAACTCGGGCTGGATGCATGCAAGTCTAGCATCAGGGCTTACTTCTAGCTCTTTGTTCAGGATCACACTTGGTGATGTTCAAAGTGTGGTGGTGAAGATTGAACCCAGTTGTTGACGTGCAAGGCAACTGCCTTACACCCTGTACTATTTCTTTGGCACTGCTTTTTGCCTTTTTGTTTCAATAATTTTTTTCTTATGTCTTAAAGAAACTGTATAGTTTAATGCAGTCCCATTTCTTTTATTTTTGTTTTCCTTGACATTGG